TTATTATTATTATTATTATTATTATTATTATTATTATTATTATTATTATTATTATTATTATTATTATTATTATTATTCTTATTATTATTATTATTATTATTATTATTATTATTATTCTTATTATTATTATTATTATCGATCTTACTCCGCTATCCTTACTAATCTACAGGAGCCTTCCTAGGCTATACGGTCCTTCTCCGGTAGCTATAGAGGGGAAAACCCGGGTAAAACCCGGGGAAAACCTCTATACACTTCCTTAGGTGGAGAGGTGCCGCTACGGGGCCGATATAACCCCGGTTCTTCCCTATTACGTATCTAGATCTTACCTTTAGGCTAATAGCTAATGGGAAGTATAAAAGGCTAGTGGTTAGGTAAGTTAGCCTAAGCTAATCTCTATCGGTAAAGCTAGGGCTAGGGGGGCGCTACCGCGCTTCCGCTATACGGTAACTACGGTTTTATAGCCTCGGTCTCCCTATATCCCTTAAGGATTATGCCTTTATTCCTTCCGTTTAGTTAATAAAAAGAGGAAGGAGGTAGGCGCCTCCTACGTCCCCTAAGTAGGTTCCTGCTATATCCGGCGGTAGGTAGGGGGAATAGGGCCTTACCCTATTATAAGAATTAGATAGTTAATATCCCCTAAGGCCTTTGTACCTTAATCCTCCCTTTCCCTCCTATAACGCTAACGAGTTTATTCTAGGGTTTTCCCTTAATTTATTTCCGCTTATCGTCCTGTAGGTATATTATTACGGCCTATACTAACTAGTAAACCCCTTTAGTTTTTCTTATTATATTCCTATTATAGTTTTACTATAAGTGTTTTACGGGTAGCGTTACGGTAGCGTAGTAGCGTAGGGTTAATTAGGTAGTATAGTATCGATTTATATATATAAATAAGTAATCTATAATAGTAGTATAGTATAAGTTCTCCTTATAGTATAGCGGTGCCTTAGTAGTAGCGTGCTAATAGTCGTAGATATCGTCTCCTAATAATATTAATACTAATAATAATAACCGCCGTTATAAGCGTAGCGTAGTTTATATTATACCGTATATAGCCCTTAGTAGCGTAGGAGTAGTATTATAGCGCTAATATAGGGTAGTTATATTCGTTATAGTAAGCGTTTAGGTATTTACTCTAACGATATAAAAGCTTACGCTAATATTACGGGAATAGGCGCGGCCTATTACTAGTATACTAATAGTCGCCGTCTATATAAGGATATAAATTGCCTCGGTGCCGTAATTATACCGTGTATACGTTAAGGTAGATATAGTAAATAGCTTAATAAGTCCCCTCCGCTACTAAAAAGTAGTAGTAACGCCTTATAGATATCTATTAGGTATACGTCGCGGTAAATGCCGCTAATAGCGCTAGTATCGCTACTATAAGTATCGCCCTTCGGTGCTATAATAGTTCTATACTAATAAGTTATAGGCTAAGGAGCGTTTAGGGACGGCGTCCCGGTCTTTTAGCCGGGCCCTAAACCGGGCGTTACCTTCTAGTCACGGTCGCGGCGGTACCGTGTTAGTAAAGGTATAGGAGTTATCTTATTAGATAAGACGCTAAGAGGGTAAGATAGATCTAATCTTAGAATACCTTATAAGTGGCTCCCCCTTAGTCCCGCTACGGCTCCTTAGCGGTATTAGCTAGCTAACTAGGCCTAGTAGGGTCTCGAGTATATTAAAAGTAGTATTAATACCTTTAAAGGAGGTAATAACGATAAGAGTTAGTTAGTGCCGTGATAGTACTATATTAATACTACCGGGGTCCTAGCTTATAAGGCCCCTATCCTAATAATTAATTAGTCGTTATACCGCCCTATCTCCGATACGGTCCCGCTTCAGTATTACAGGTATCTTTAAAGGCCTCTATACCTTTAAGGGCGAGGCGAAAGTCCTTAAGCCTTTTCCGTTATAGGAACCACCTTATAACTACCCCGGCCTTAGTATTATATTCTAATACGTTATATAAGTCTCCTCTAATTATAAGTCGCCTCTTTATAGTACCGAAGAGGTCCTTACGGTCCTCCTTAGTTACCTCCTAGTATTAGAGTGCTATATACTCCGCCGTTTCCGCCCCTCCGTCCCTATAAGGGTACCGCGGTAATAGGAAGCCTAGTACCCTCGCTTTAGCTAGGAATACTTATAGGCCTAGTTTTTCTAATCTAATCTAGGTAAGTACGCAGCTTTATAGCTTAAGGAGCCCTTTATATTTTCGGAGGGAGCGTTATATCGGGGGGCGGCTTAGTACTATTACGGCGTAGGTATAGGGCCATTATACTTCCGTCTAGGCTTAACCCTATTCCCTTATAAAGGCCTTCCGCGGGGGTAAGGTTCCGGCCTAGGTTATTAGGGCAGTAAGCTATACTATCCACGCGAGGGCGGCGTAGGTCCTATACTACCGATTTAGTATTATTAGGGCTCTCGCCGTGGCGTATACTCCGGCTAATATCTTATCTTCGGTCCTTTCTTCTTATATCCGGAGGATCTTTTAGGCGCTTAGGCTTAAGAGGTATAGGTTAAGGGGGGGGATAAATATCTCTTTTTCGAGGACCCTAACCGGTATAGCCCTATAAGCTCCGGCTATTAATCTAAGACACCGGTTTTATATTACTATAAGTACCGCTACGGGGCTATACTGGGGGCTAGCCCTTATCTTATACATGGCTAAGACGTAATAGACTATTACTAGTCTTACTACTATAAGGTATAGTCTTCTTATATCCGCGAAGCTATACCTTTACGCTACCATACTAAGCCTTAAGAGGACGTATATTTATATAGCTAGTCGGCTCTTTACCTTTTTAGTATATCGCCGGAAATCGAGTTTCTTATTAAGCTAAACGCCTAGGAGCCTTATCGCCTCCGTTACCAGTACTAAAATAGCGCTAAGGGAGAGCGGGGTAAAAGAGGGTTAGCGTAATCTTATAAAGGGGATATAGACGTACTTAGCTAGTTTAAACTATAATCCGCTCGTTATCTCTTAGTTTAGGTAAGTATACTACGCGGTAATAAGGCGGTACTATATTTATACCTCCGTTCTATTCATGGCGATACTATTCGTGTTATTAATAAATCCTGCTATTATCGTTTTAGGGACGCTTTCTAACTCCTCGTAAAGAGTAGAGATATAAAGGATAAAGAGGATAAGGGAGATTAAGGAGCCCTATAATATACCCTTACGGAGGTGTTTCGGAGGGGCTATTTCGCCGTTAAGTAATAGCTAGGCTATATAGTCTTAGGGGAAGCTATTAATTAGGGTAATAAGCTATTAGGGGAAGCCCTTTCTTTTAAGCATCTTAAGGAGGCGGGAGTAAGGGATAGTATTAAAGGCGCTTTTAATATCTAGTTAAAGTATTAAAGCAGTGCTATTATAGGCCTAGCTCGCCTTTACGGCCTCCGTAACTCTTTATACTACTATCTTTATACTCCGCCCGGTCCGGTTACCTATTTATTCTTTTAGAAGGAGCCGATACTCCTCTACTATAGTAATAATACGGTCGGCTAGTATTCTTTTAAGGACCTTACCTATTATATTAAAGAGTAATATCGGTTATTAGCCCTTTACTATCTTATAGTTAGCCGGCGGCTAGCCTTCCTTCTTAAGGACTACTACGGTAATATAGCGGCACCTCTTCGGGTAATAGCCCGTTTTAAGACACGCTATAAAGATAGCACTTAGTCTTTAGTGTAGAGGAGGTCTATATACTTTTAGGAGCCCTACTAGGAGTCTATTAGGCCTTAGTGCCGGCTAGAGTTTAGTCTTCTTAAGGCGCCTCTATATATCCGCTACCGTAACGTCGCGGCGGATATCCTAGCTAGGGGGGAATTCCACGCCTAGGGGTTTAAAGACGGTAAGGAGAGGGGGTAGAAAAAACTTCCGGTTAAGGATTTCGGCTTTCTCTATATATATAGTAGCTAGGTTATCGCTATCGTCTTACTATAGTAATAGTACTAACAGGAGGTTTAGCGGTACTCTCCCTTTTATTCTTACCTATTTCTATAATCGCTAAAAGAGGTTATTATTCTTCCCGGTTTTATATAATAAGTACCGTTAGTATAGCCGCTTTATTACCGTAACGGCATTATTACGGCGCTTCTCCGCTTCCTAGAACTCGTTCTATTAGTTCCGGGACTTCCTAGATATATATCTACGGTAGAGGCGTCTTATCTCCTACGTAAGAGCGGTTAGCTCCGCGCTCTACTAAGGGGTAGGTAGGAGTCCTGGGGTACCCCTGTAGTAGCGCGGTATAGCCTTATCGGCTAGGGTTATAAGGTCCCCGATTAGGTCATCTAGTACTAAGTCGATATCTCCTAGTATTATAAGGGGGCCGGTCTATTATAGTTATATAGCAGCGAGCTAGGGGAC